AAAACCAATTGGTGATAGGAAAGTGGACACTTTGTATTTAACCACATCTCTCTGTAGCCCCAAGCCGAGGTAGATTCCTATAGGGCACCCCCTATAGTTCACTACGGCAGTGCGGAGCCCCACTACTGAGCGGTGGATGGACAATAGGGGCTTCGCAAGATACACGACTCATGTACCTCGTCAAGTTGGGCTGTCAATACCCGATACCATGCTAAGCACAGTAGCGAATCCCTAAGGGTGATCGATGGTCCCCCATAAGACCAACAATAAATTGTTGAAACACGGGTTTATCGTGTTTTCGTACTAAAGCTGTGTTCGTTTTTATGACAGGTTTTGATAATGCCAAACCGCCGTGAACGAGACAAGTTGTTTAATATACAAGGCGAGAAATAAATATAAGAAGAAAGCAAGAGAACAAGATCTAAAAGAGACCAAGAACGAAGACCGTAGTCTTTAGCGTCGTTGAGTCGGTCACAATGTGATCAAGACCGACCCAAGCTTTGCACTTTGGCTCTTTAGGCTAAAACATTTTTTATTGCCTTTTACATATCATCAAAATTATTTTCAAACATGCTTAAACATATTAAAAACACTTGGTGTTCGCCCAAACCAAAAACCAAGCCATCCGGGGTTCGGCTTTCGGAAACCGGCGTTCGGCATTCGGTTATCGGCGATGGTTTTTGGCGTCCGAACCAACCAAGTAGTTTTCAAATTTTTATGATTGGTTTTTACTTCCTGGAACATTTAAATAGTTTTCCATCAAAAACACTTCAAAAACCACCTTTCGTTTTTTGCCGTTTGATAAAAACCATGCGAAACGGCATAAACTTGGCTAGCCGTGGTTTTTACTTAAATGAAGTGGTTTTCGTGTCTTTTTGTGTGGGAATTGTTTTTGAATGCATTTAAATGGTTCTCCAATAAAAACATCATGAAAACCACCTTTCGGTTTTGTCTTTTGGTAAAAACCACCCGTGTACGGCATTGACTTGGTCAACCATGGTTTTTACCTTAACGACGTGGTTTTCAACTTAAAAAGCTTGTTTTAACATCACAATACATTAAATAAGTGTTTTATATACTTAGTTTTTACTTTGGAGAACTTTGCATTTTTCGGTCGGGTTTTAGTGCCGGTCAGCTAGGCCATGGTTCTGGGCTAGCCATCTACCCAGCGATGGTAGATATCACCCATCCATGGGTAAGTGATCCCGGGATTCCAGAATCATGCCACCCAGCGATGGGAGATATTACCCATCGATGGGTAAGCAGCCTTCAGCCCAACTGATTTCCAGAACCATGCCAAACAGCGATGGAAAGTTCTACCCATCACTGTTTAAGCCTTGGTCCAACATTTTCACAAGGCAGAATGCCCTTACCCAGCGATGGGAACCTTTACCCATCGATGGGAACCCAGCGATGGGAGGGCATACCCATGGCTGGTTAGGCATGACCGTTGCAAGTCATTTAAGGCTGATTCTTTCCTTGTTTGAAAGTCAACCTCCCACCCAGCGATGGGAAGCATTTACCCATCGATGGGTAGGTGACCGTTGGCTTCAAAACTGAAGGAAAATTGGTTTACCAGCGATGGGTAAGTCCATACATCGCTGGGAAGCCAATATCCTGCAGATCCACATTTTAATCAATCTCATAAATCAAGCCAATCACCCCATTAATGCCTTGGTCCGTTGGAGCCTATTTTGTCACTATAAAAAGGGATGGTTGGGTCTGCATTACACACCAATTCACTTCACATTACACATATCATCATTGCAACCAAACAACATTATTTTCCATAGCTTTCTAGAGCCAATTTGTGAAGTTTGAGTTGTTCTTGAGCGTATATAGTTTACTCAACATCTACTCTTAAAGAGAGTCTTGTTCTTGAGTGTTCTTAGTGTTGTAAACACGTTTAGGGAAGTTTGTTTCCCTTGGCTGTACGAAGGAAAGGTATTTTCCTTCGGGTTGAAGTCTTGGAGTGCGGTATCTCCGAGCAAGTGTTGTTGAGGCTCGTGGGACTCGAGTTCTCAGGATGTAACGGTTTGTTAAGCACCCGTAAGCTTAACGGAAGTAGTGTAGCTCGAGAGAGTCTCTCGGGAGACTGGATTAGCCACACATTGTGGTGAACCAGTATAAATCTTGGTGTGCTCCCTTTACTCCTTTTTATTCCGCTCTCTACTTTATCCCTGCGATTTTTATTCCGCGAAAATTTATAAACATTCTCGTGCCTCACTATTCACCCCCCCCCTCTAGTGAAGGACACTTATTCTAACAGAATGTTATATATTCTTGACACCGGTGGTATGATTTCCTGGGCCAACAAATTTGACCGCAAAGTCCCATACAAAGCATCGTTCAGACCCATCAAAAATTGATGGGAGCGTTCCCTCTCACGCATCTGCGTGAGCTTCTCCTTTAAGTCACACGTGCAATTCCTACACGTGCAGATCGGGAACCGCTCTAAATCTGCTAGATCATCCCACTTCTTCATCTTTCCATAATATTCCATTATAGAAAGATTCTTCTGTTTGCATTCCGCCAATTCTCGCTTCAACTGCTGGACCCTTGGTCCATTAACCACAGAGAAACGAGCCTTCAACTCGCTCCACAGATCTGAAGCCTTTTCCATAAAAGATATGCTGGATCTCAAGGTTGGATCAATCGTGTTCCGAATCCAAGAGACCAACAGTGAATGGTTTGTCCACCAATCGTCAAAATCTTCTGAATCGGGATCTGGCATCTCAATTGTTCCATCAACAAATCCAAATTTCTTGCGTGCTCGAAGAGCCAAGCGCAGAGATTTGGACCACTCATCATAATTATCTCCCTTTAGAACGACATGGGTCAATATCATACCCGGATTGTCGCTCGGAGACAAATCGTAAGGGGAGATACGACGACATCGCACCCAAACCTCCTCCTCCTCTCGTTCTTCATTTTTCTTACCGGAAATGATCTTCATAGGCATTTCTTCAGACATACCAAATGATAGAGTTCAAGAATTGGATAAAAAACAGCAGCGGTTGGAGATTCTGCCGTCGGGACGGTCGATGTCTTCGACCGTTATGAACAAACGGTCGACCGTTCCGGTCTTCTCGGCAGCAACAACGAGCAACGATCGATGGACGCGATGCCGAGCGATCGTGCGGAAATTCCTAGAGTTTTGGCTCCGATACCATGAAAGAATTGTTTTGGAATCAAAATCCTTGTATTCCTTTCTGTGTTTTACAATTTACAATCCAGCCGTATATATAGCAAAGAGTCCTAATTAACAAAGGAAAAGGAATCTCTATACAAGGCAACTACCATAACTAATATATACGGAAATAAATGCTAATAAATGCTAAATATTCTCTTTCCTCCTTTACACTTTTTAATACCTTTAAATTTTCATGGATATTTTAAAATCTTAATTGAATACATATAAACTTTTAAAATCTTAAAAAATACTGCAGAATCAATGTTCAATACACCCCCCCTAAATGTTAAATGCTATATTATTTATTCTACTTTTGATGTGTGTAGTATTAAAAATCATATCAAAATATATTTTTTTATTCTTAAAATAGTTTACATTGAATAAAATTTATAGAATCGGTATTCACTCACGGTCAACTTTATGTTGCAGTTTCACGCGTGAAAACTAAGAGATGATTGAAAGTATTAGTTTTAGATGACAACGGTAACCTTTGCAATTGTACCAAAAATGTGGTTTACCTTGAATTTTTTCAAAAAAATTGGATTTAATTGATACATTTGTACATTCTTTTCAATTTTTATATGCATGAATTTTAGTTAGCATACTCTGTTTATGTTGTATCTAAAATTCTATATTTTATCTACTTTTATTTTATAATTATTTACTTAAAATAAAAAATTAGCAGATTTAAAAATAACATGCGTTCGACCCCGTGCGTTGCACGGGTTAAAAATTTTCTCTTTAATTAGGCGAATCTCATTTTTATTTAATTAAACAAAGGAATAGTTGTTTGAATTTGTCTACAGTAAGAAAATAATAAATTTTTGATATAAAAATCACAATTTCTTAAACTTATCTAATATAGTAATTTTTATTTGGGATTTGAAAAGTAGAGTGGGTCGTTGTAAGATAATGAGTGCAAATGGAAAAAAAATGGAAAGTTAGAAAGAACATCTCAAAAAATTAAAAAGAATTAGAAAGTTAAAAAAATGGAAATGTCGGATGCAATATTTGATTGAGGAAAATAATTTTCTAGAATATTATTTTTTTAGGGGAAAATGATTTGCATAAAAAAATATTCCCCGTCCCCCAATTTTTTTTCTAAAACCCTATTTTTTATAAAATGATTTTCCAAAGAATCTTTGTTTTCATTATTTATTAGGAATTTTTTGTATTAGTACATTGTTGATATTTATTTTGAATAAAAAATAAAAATGCTTTAAAATATTTCGAAATTTTAAGGCTATGCTGTTTTTTATACGCGTTCGGTATCAAATTTTCATTATAAACCTTAGTTTTCTAGGGTTTGGGGGTAAAGGGTACAGGCAATATTTTTTTCAAAAAATTACTTCTGGGTATTCTCGAGTTTATGCTAATAACTCTCAAATCTCACATTATTTGAAATATACTACGGGGTATCTTTGATTTTTTTAGTAAGAACTCTCAGGTACCACATTATCCGAAATATACTCCAAGTTCACAAAATTCGTGATAGAAAATCTCAGGTACCGAACTCTCAAATAGACCAAATGTACCCACTAAGTAGATTACCACATTTTAAGGACTTTGAGGGTATATTTTAGATAATCTAGAACCTGAGAGTGTTTAGTGTTTACTAGAATCAAGGGAATTTGGAATATATGAGTTATTACCGGAAAATCGAGAGTATCCCAGAGTAATTTTCTTTATTTTTGTTTGTAAAATCAGAGAAATCAAAGAGTATGAATTGAAATTTTTCCCTAGCCTCTTTAAGACAAGTTTTTTTCTTCAAAAATGACTTTCTATCGGTTATGCAACTAAATGTAAAAAATAGAAATGAAACTTTTTGAAAAAAAATATTTTTTCTACCAACTAAAGTAATCCTAAAAATTAGGATTCAAAATAATATATAAGATCCTAAAGAAATTGAAAAAAATTAACAGAAAAAAAATTGCATTTAACCCGTGCCTCAAGTTAAAATGCAATATGGACGAACATGCCTCACTCACATTGCGCTACGAACTTTTCATGAATTGAAAGAAAGAGGTCACAACTCTCTGAACTTTCAATTATATTGTATAATACGAAATTTCATTACCATATTTTAAATGCTAAAATTATTTATTTTACTTTGATTTTTATGTATGTAGTGTTAAGAATCATATTAGAATGAAATATATTTTTATAAATCCAATCAAAATACTATTTGGATGAATATTTAAAGAATCGACAAAAATTTTGTTTAACCCGTGCGTTGCACGGGTTAAAATACTAGTTTAAATATATATACATTACATTTTTTGTGTTACTTACCATTTCAACATTTGAATTTATTACACCTTAGCTTAATGATCTTGCGAAAAGGTGATCAATGATATATTGTTTGCCAAATTTAGAATTATGTATATATTAAAAATTATGACTGAAATAAACGTTCAATTCAATAAATGAATAAAAAGGATTGTAATCATTAAATACATTAATATTCTATTACGGAAATTATGTGTTACTTGCTTGTTTGCAATACATACCTTTTTGGTTTACTTACCATTTCAAAATTTTATTTTATTACACACATAATAAAATAAGGAAATCATTTTATTTACTTCATAGGTACTTACAGTGTATTTATTATCCATTCTTACAAAAACTATGTACAAGGTAATTATTTTATTTAAAATCATTTTATTTTAAAATAAGTATGAAATTAAAATTAAATACGGTACCATGTTAATTAATTTTTTTATAGCACTGTATCATAAATTTTATATACCTTTAATTACGTTTTTATACACATATTACATCTTAATTTCTAAATATATATTAATTACGTTTTTGGAATTACTTACCATTTCAATATTTTATATTATTATATACCTTTCTGGTGTTACTTACCATTTCTATGTTTTTTAATCTCAATTTATAAATATAAATTACGCTTTGATGTTTTTTGGTATTACCTACCATTTCAACATTTTAATTTATTACACACAATTTTGGTTTTACTTACCATTTCAAAATTTTATTTTATTACACGTAATAAAATAAATAAATCATTTTATTTATTTCATAAGTACTTACAGTATATTTATTATTCATTCTTACTAAAACCGTGTATAAGGAAATTATTTTATTTAAAATCATTTTATTTTAAAATACCTATGAAGTTAAAATGAAATACGGTACCATGTTAATTATTTTTTTAACACTGTATCATAAATTTTATATACCTTTAGTTACGTTTTTATACACATATTACATCTTAATTTCTAAATATATATTAAGTATGTTTTTGGTGTTACTTACTATTTCAACATTGTATATTATTATACACCTTTCTGGTGTTACTTACCATTTCTATGTTTTTTAATCTTAATTTATGAATATAAATTACGTTTTGATGTTTTTTGGTGTTACTTACCATTTCAACATTTAAATTTATTACACACAATTTTGGTTTTACTTACCATTTCAAAATTTTATTTTATTACACGTAATAAAATAAAGAAATCATTTTATTTATTTCATAGGTACCTATAGTGTATTTATTATTCATTCTTAACAAAACCGTGTATAACGAAATTATTTTATTTAAAATCACTTTATTTAAAATACCTGCGAAGTTAAAATGAAACACGGTACCGTGTTAATTAATTTTTTAATAACAATGTATCATAAATTTAATGTACCTTTAATTAAATTTTTATATATACACACATTACATTATCTTAATTTGTAAATATTAATTACGTTTTTGGTGTTACTTATACCATTTTAACATTTTATTTTATTACACACCTATTTGGTGTTACTTACCATTTTGTGTTTTTAATTACATCTTAATTTATAAATGTAAATTATATTTGTGGTGTTTCTTACCATTTCAACATTGTAATTTATTACAAACCTTTTTAGTGTAACTTACCATTTCAACATTTTATTTTATTACACATGTTACATCTTAATCAGTTTCACATGTGTTTAATTTATTACACACGGTACTGTGTTAAATCAAAAAAATTAATTACCTTTTAATGGCAAATTGACATTAATCACTTTCTTATTCAAGTTTGGCAATCACCATTTGTAAGGGATGACCATTTAGGCGGGAAAACAAAACGAGGTTTCCCCTCTTTTTAAATAAAGTATAGCAAGATAAGATAGTTGTATTGCATCTGAGTACATCTAGATATGGGGTCATTTCCCTGTGTAGACTTGCTGGTTTAGGTTCCTTCATATAATTATATGTAATTAAAATATAAACTCTCCCAAAAAAGTAAATCGGAGTAGCTTACTTTGTTTAAGATTTATTATTTAATGAAACAGAGTAGCCAATTCCTTTCCGAATATTTAATTAAGGAAATGGAGTAGCCAACTCTGTCCCTCTATTTTTTTATCAATTTTTTTCTTAATTTCTCAACTTCGTTCCTCTATTATTATTATTTTTAAAATCAATTTTTTTCTTTATTTCTCATAATTGAAAAACAAAAAAATATTATAAAAAGCAGCAATTTAATTACATATAATGAAACAAACAATCTACTAATAATAAAATTCATAAATAAAATAATTATTTATTGACTTTAAATAATGCACCATACACCGAAATTAAAATAAGAAGTAAATCACAATAAATTTATTGGTAGAGTACATATAATTTATTCATAAAAATAAGGTTACAAAACACATGTCATAACTAATTTATTTCGTAAAATTCATAAAACATAAACTTAGACATAATTGAAATCCATGATATAGCTATTGTTCATTGCGACATTGCCGTGGTCGGTAGTCCATGTTATTCGGATAGCGAGTTCTTGTAGGTCGAGCGGTTTGTGTCCTCGCTCGTGCAGTTGGTCTCACTATCTCGTATCCTGTAGTAGGCTATTCGGCCACATCGGGAAGCGGCATTATGATGCTCGAATAAGAGTTGATGTAGGACTGGATTGAAAAAACTCTAGGAATCAAATGATCCATGGTGACACTACACTGATGACATACTGCGTGGACATGAATGCACGGAATGTGATATGTTACCCATTCTCCACAGGTACATGTTCGTGCATTTAAGTTCACTGCAAATGTCTCGCGGTGACCATTTTTGGAGGACCCATCCACAACCACAGAATATATCCCCTGCTGTGCGTGGTGTTGCACAACACGACAATAAAGCCTATTTTCTTCATTTTTCTTGATATTTTTCCACACATTCATAAGAAAATTATACCCGAATTGTTGCCACAAATATCCATTGGTTCGCCTATCAGCAAAAAACTTGACTAATTTATCATAGGTGAACCTCACAATGGCAAAGACGGGCAAACAATGACATCCCTTAAGGACATTATTGAAGCTTTCTGACGAATTTGTGGTCGTTATACCATAGCGTGATGTCAATCTTCCATACAATATAACTACATACAATAATATTGATTAGTCTAAAAAAAATATAATTTAGAATTGTGTACTTTATGAATACTTATGGCAGTCTGTAGCTCAGGAGAAATGGGGATGTACCCTGGTCCGTGCTGATGGACGAGGTTTCCTATCTGTCATCGACCCCGAAGGTAATACCATTGACAATACTCAGGTGTGGCATCCACCATCCCAAACTCCATCGGCATGGTAGCATCATAACGTATCTCCCACACCTCTAAATACTGTCTCTCACCATCGCCAGTTTGCATAACATTTGACTTAATGTGGTGTAGATGACGGTCATAGACAACAACTTGAGGGGCGTGCTGGAGGGCACCAAACTGCCTGCAAAAGCGATCATGATAGTACATCTCCACTACATTCACATAGATCAAGGGGATTCTTGAAATCCATATTCTGACTCTAGCTGAACAATAGGGCGGCAAGTTCTCGAGATTCAGATACGTCATCCAAACAAACTGCATACATAAACAACTAATAAAATACACAATAAAACTAAAACACATATGTATAACATTATGATATTATGAATACTCACCTCTCCCTCGAGTAATCTGTCTAGCTGGTCCCTGTATGCTTGTATGGAGTGTGTGGTACAATTTGACCATCGATGGTAACACACCCATCTACAAGTGAAGGATTATGCACAACCATGACTGAAACATACTATATGATTTTATGATATACATAAAGAAACTGCAAATACCTCACTCCGTATGGGACATCTACAAGCTGATCCTAGGGGTGTGCAAGAACCGGTCTGGACCTGAATTTAGACTTGAACCGGACCGGAATGGACTGGTCCGGACCGGTCCGGAATAATCAGGTCTAGTCTCCGGTCCTAAAAATATATAGATTCTGGTTTCCGGTCCGGTCTGGTCTAAACCCGGAAGTAACCGGTCTAGACCTGAATCTTTTCAATATATTAATATTTTTATACATATCCACTAAATCCAAGCCCAACACTTCCTAGTCCATTATCAATTTTAATGACCTAAACAAACACATCGTATCCTTGGCCTTGCATCACAGAGTGAGAAGACTAAGAGGTGCCGCAGACTTCTTCGCCAATTCCAGCGCAGACTGCGTCGCTGCTGACTGCTGTCCAGCGCCGCTACTCTCCTGCACTACTGCTGTCCTGCGACGCTGTGTTACAGCTGGTGTTATAGATGGAGACAGCTGTCAATGACGTGGCACTCTTAGTTGTTACGTTTGTTATCCAAGTTTGTTACGTTCGTTATAAACGGTTAGGGCGGTGGGTTGTATATAAATACAAGGTGGATGTACGTATGGAATATAATAATACAATCTCATTTTTCCTCTCTCAAAATATCTTCTTCTTCCCCAAATATCTCTTTCTTCCTGGTAATCTCCATTGGAGAAGCTTACAGCTTCCCAAGCTGTACGTAACAGTGGTATCAAAGCTCGTTCCTGTTGGATTCACAATCGCTGACCTAGGTTGTAGCCATGGACACTCAATTGAAAAACATGCACTACAAGAATTTGTCTGGTTTGCAACGGATATCTGCTACGGACCAATTTCCGTAGCAGATCTGCAACGAATCAGCGACGGAATAATAATTCTTGAAAAAGACGCAATATCTGCGACGGATGTCATATTTCCGTCGCCGATTTGCGATGGAATATTGCCCCCTGTCGCAAATTCAAATTGGTCAAATTTTGACCTGATTATCTGCGACGTAATTTTAATTCCGTCGCATATCCGTCGCAGAGAATTACTAAAAATCGAGATTGGTTTTTTCCCAGCCATTCGTCCGTCATTCTACCCTAATCCCAATTCTCTCTCCTGTCCTTCGAACGCGAGCCCTCTGCCACCCGTCGACGCCCGTCATCTCCGCCGACGCACGTCCTCGCCAGCCCCGCCGTCGTCTTCAGCCACGCCAGACCCTTCAGCCACGCCGTTCGCCCAGCCACGCCGTCTCCCAGCCGCGCCAGCCGCGCCGTCCACAAGCCGTCGCCACCCATCGTCGCCGCCGCTAGTACTCCACTGGTAATGTTAGTTGTTAAGTTCTTGTGTTGTTCTTGTTTTTGTTGTTTTTCTTGCTGTTCTTGACGCTATTATTATTTCGTTGTTGTGTGTTATTAACTATCATGTATTTCAGGCTCAATTCTTCGAATTGCGCGAGGAAGCTAAACAGAATGGGTTGCAAGTCACCGACAAAGAAATATGGTACTCGTTAGTTGAGGGCCATAACGCGAAGAACCGCGTTCCTGGAGTTGGTGACTACGAGCGGGAAATGAGGAAGATGAATCCGTCCTCCAAACCTCGCCGTTCCAGCACGAGTAGTAGAAGCAGAGCGGAGATATCAGCACTCAAAGAGCAAAACCAAAGGCTGCAGGAACAAATTGATAGTCTAACCTCGAACTTGTCGCTGACAATTCAGGAGGAGATAAGGAAGCTATATGGTGGTAACCTTCCTCGACGAGGCGATGATGATGAAACGGGAGGGGCAGGGCAGCCCGGGATTTGTTGAGACCTTTACGACCTTAGCTTCCTCCATTTTAAACACTTGACACTAACATTTTAATATTTATTGTTAGAACATAATGAATTATGTTACATTCGCATTTGAAGTTTGCATTAATCTAGATTTGAATTATCAATTTGGGTGTTGAAATCTTGTTTAAAATTATGTGTGTGAAGATTGAATGTGTTTTGCCCCCCCACACCCCCCCTCATTTTAATAGGTAGTGCCAAAAACAGGAAAATTCTGGTTCTGTCAATAGGTCATCTGCGGCGGAAAGCGTCG